GGTCTGGTCCCAGTCTCAGTCCCAGTCTCAATCACAGTCTGGTCCTGGTCTCAGTTCCGATCTCAGTTCCTCCCAGTTCCGGTCCCAGTTCCGGTCCCAGTTCCGGTCCCAGTTCCGGTCTCAATCACAGTCTGGTCCGGGCCTCTGTTCTGGTCCCAGTTCCGGTCCCAATCACAATCTGGTCCTGGCCTCAGTTCCGGTCTCAGTTCCGGTCTCAATCACAGTCTGGTCCTGGCCTCAGTTCCGGTCCCAGTTCCAGTCCCAGTTCTCCGGTCTGAGTTCCGGTCTGAGTTCCGGTCTGAGTTCCGGTCTCAGTCCTGGTCCCGGTCTAGTCCCGGACCTGGTTTAGACCTGATTCGGTTTAGTTCTTGTTTAGTCTGTAGTCTGGTAGTCCTGTTTAGTTTCAGTCCTAGTCCGTCTTAGTCTGTTTAGTCCTGGTCGTCCTGGTTTAGTCCTGGTTTAGTCCTGGTTTAGTCCTGGTTCAGTCCTGGTTTAGTCCTGGTTTAGTCCTGTTTAGTCCCTGGTTCAGTCCTGGTTTAGTCCTGGTTTAGTCCTGAGTCCTTTAGTCCTGGTTTAGTCCTGTTTCTGGTTAGTCCTGGTTAGTCCTGGTTTAGTCCTGGTTTAGTCCTGGTTTAGTCCTGGTTCAGTCCGTTTAGTCCTGGTTTAGTCCTGGTTCAGTCCTGGTTTAGTCTGGCCTCACAGTTTATGTCACGTGAACAGGAAACGTCCGTTATCCGTTTTTTTCCCATTTTTCATTTAAACACAAAATTGAAAACTGAAAAAAAAACCGAATCGTTATCTGTTTTTTCATTTTGGTTTTGGAGACAAATAATGAAGAAAATAGTTGTTTTTTTTCGCTTTCTTATTTTTGGTTTTATATTGAAAATCGCACAGACGACACACGGTTTGTCTTCGTTCTTGGTGTTGCGTTCGGGTCCCGGTTGCCTCCCTGATAAACCCTCGAGCCGCCGTGTTCCATAAATCAAGATATGAACATTAATAACAGAAGAAGTGGCACCGCTTCCCCCAAGGTCGACTCCCGCTGCCGTTAGAATCACGTTTGATTGACAGCAGTCGTGTCTCGTTGCCAAGCGCCTTCCCCCGTCAAACCAGAAGAGCAGACGGGAATTCATCGACTCTTTGGTTTGGAGGAACTGGGCTCCGGTCAAGCGTTAACGGAGGAAACAGAGGCAGATTTTTTACATCCAAACAGCTCTTATTCAGAAACTAGAAGGACTATTGAAATAAGTGGTAACACTTTATAATAACTACACCTTATTTAGCCTTAATAAAGCATGAACAAAGACTTAATTAATAATGATTCACGCTTAGTAACTACTTAATTACTACCTGAATTAGCACTTAACTTGCACTTAATTCATCTGTGCTGTAAATAGTTACTCATAAGTATTTCTTACTTAATTACTCATGAACTAACCATTTGTGTGTGCATTTGTAAATGTATATTTAAGTACAAATTTGAGCATTTATTAATGATTAGTAAGCCATGAGAGAATGATTTACTAATACTGCATTATTTTTTCTCTGGAATTTGACCAACCTTAACAAATGCTTAAACCAGGAGAGTCAAACTCATTTTGTTCTGGGGGTCGTGTCCAACCGACTTTGATCCCAAAGTGTCCGGATCAGAAAACTCATGTCATATAAACCCCAAAAATAACAATAAGTTCAAATATTTGTGCAGAGAAACACAAATCTATTACAGAAATCTTTTTTAATTGATAAACTCTTTCTTTTACACAATATTACAATATTATTGTGACGGAGCCAGTCCGTCTATGATTTTCGGTGGCGTTTCCCCCCCTACACGTAACCGCGGTCTGCACTGACGTGCCCGCGCGCACACACGCTGAGTCATCCCGCACACACGAGTTCATTCCCCGTTTCCCCGCTGTTTCATTCATTCGCGCCGTATTCACTGTTATCGCCTTCTCCCCTCTTTCCTCCGTTACTAATTCGCCAAGGCTGCACACTTGAGCGCGTTAGAGTAATTTATTTCACTTGTCTCCTACCTGTCCGATGACGCCGTCTCTCTCTCCTTCGACGCGGCGCCTCTGCCAAACCGAGCCTTTATTTCCTGGTAGTTGAAATAGGTGCTGTTCGCGCCGTGGTGCTGACCATGTGACGCGCATTATGTAATACGATTTTCTTTACGTTTTTCAGCTATTATTTTTGACATTTAATGTACATTATTACTGTGTGCTCAACGTAGCATAGACAAGGTAGGTTTATGGTTAAATTGTTTGTCTTTAGAGTGATTTTGATGTGTTGCTCAGTGGGAGGAGTCAGGTGGTATAAAGGGGAGCCGTTCCTGGCTGTTAATCAGTCTGCCACCGGGTACAGAGCAGGTAACGTCGGGTGCTGTACAGAATCTTAAAGGGGACAGTTAACGCTGAACTTGACCCTGTTTCTTCGCTGTAAATACTTTTTGGACGTTTTGCTCACTGTAAATATTCTGCACTGTTTTTGGGATTTTTGCACTTTGGACACTGGCACAATAAACCACCTGCACCTGCAGAATCTCGATCTTGCCTAAGTTTTTGATAGAGCCCCGCCACAATTATGAACAACCTGAAACTTTAAGAAAAATGCAATTTCAACACAATGTTTTAACATGAACTTGTATGTAAATATGAATAAGTCCATTTTTGTTGTAAAATCCTGCACTCGGCTCCACTTTTCTCATGTTGGACATTTTTCTGATGAGGGTGTCACGGTCAACAGTCAAAACGATCGTCCTTTAAGAGCGTTTGGAAAGAGACAAGTCTTCATTTGTGCTGCTCTGGTGGGAGGGGCCACGTACAGAGACGCTATGTTCAGCGACGCAAGAAATGACCAATATTTTAATAGAAAATATAATTAAAATATTTTTGTAGAAAATCACCCGAGGGCCATATTAAAGGTCTTGGAGGGCCGGATCTGGCCCCCGGACCGTATGTTTGACACCTGTGGCTTAAAGGGATAGTTCAGGTTTTTTGACATGAATCTGTGTGTCGTCCCCATCAGCAGTGTCGTGCATCAACTCTGACTTTACCTCCGACAGCGTCCGGTGAGTCGAGATCCTGGCCGGTTTTGGTGCTGAGGAAAGTAGTTCGGCAGGTTGTCTGGGGACAGTAAAATAAAGCGTTTTTCTTCTCAAAACAACATGTGTTCAAAAGAGTGATACATTTGCACCACAAAACCTCCGTCCTCTAAAAAGTCAGACCTCATAATCACTTGGCGCTATTTTCTCTCCGTACGTATCACTGCACCGCTTGTTTCACTTTGTTAACTGCTCGGAATATTCGCCTCTTCTCTCTCTCTGCCTAATTTCGTCTAACTCTCTCTGGTGAATTTCGGCATTAGTATATTCGGGTTCAAAAAGATCTCCCATTGGTTCTGTGCTAAAATCAGTTTCTTCATCATCGGTGTCGTAGTCAGACATGTTGTCGTTAACATTCTGAGCAGTTAACAAAGTGAAACAAGTGGTGCAGTGATACGTACGGAGAGAAAATAGTGCCAAGTGATTACTTGAATTTGTTTGCCTTGTTGTTTACTTCTGCTTGACCGGGCTCTATTGTAAACACCGAACTTGGCGAATATGGAGCGCAGACCTCGACCAGCTTCATTTGTCTGGAGCCGCTTCTATCCACAGTCTGGATTTTTGACACGTGTTTGCAGCCGGTTTTATGGAAGAGAATAATTTATTTCATCAGATTTAGAATTTTAAACGTTGCTGAATTTCACTTTGAATTTTTTAACTCTGATAAAAAAATGTTATTTATTTATTTTAGTTTTTTTCATATTGAATTTTAAACAATTTGAAAATGTACACATATAAATTCATTTTTTAAAGGTCATTCAGAATAAAAACATGGATCCTCGTCGCTCACTCAGGGTCGACGCTTCTGCCTTGGCGTCTTGGATCTTTGCTGTGAAATTTCTCACTGTGAATTTCACACTGAATTTTGATTTATTGAATTTGAGGCCTTGAAAATATCTGCGCTGAATCAGGAGTGGGAATTATTTTTTTCCATGGAGCCTCATGAGAATCAGAAATTATTTGAGGGTCAGGCCAAAATGTTTCACTCAAATCTGCAGAATATTAATTGTACGCACACGTTTTGATTTACGTATTGTGTCATTTTGTACGTGGATGAGAAAATCTTGGGCACCTCTAAAATAAAAGCAATGTAGTTTTACTCCACGCATGAGGTAAAATTATAAATAGTGCTGTCAAGAGATTAAAAAAAAATTGAGCGATTAATTAATTATGATATGTAATAAATGAATCCAATTAATCTCTTTTTTAATCTCACCTATAAATTGCTGAGAAAAGCTTCAATTTGAGGTATTTTCATTTAAATTCATTATTACATTATTGTGGCAGATCAAAAGACTGATACAGAACAAAAAAAATGACTTTATAACATGATTTATTGTTTAACGGATGCAGTCATTTATTTAGTTATTTATTACTAATTTGCATAAATAAATTCAACTTTACGACATATAAACATCACCACTCTAGAGCCACATCAGCCCGTTTGACATTATAATGTGTTTAATGCAGATTTGTGCAACTCTCACAGAAACTAAACTTAAAACCACATGACTAATTTGCATAAACTAAGAGGAGAAAAAAAACCAAAAAACGCTCTTGTGCGCTGATGTGGTTCAGCTTCTGTCGGACTAAAAGTGGACGACTCAGTGGAATATAGATGTTCTTTCTGTGACAGAGGGGATGTTCTGCTGATGGTGAGTCTGTTCTGTGTTTGTCGTGATGTTTTCAAAGATCAGACATGTGCAGGTTTATCGCAAATGCAGCGGGAACGGGAATGAAAATGACAATTCTTTGCAGGAGCGATGTGTTTTTGTCCCACCAACACTTAAAAACAGATTTTATAATAAGGCAACTCGCAAACAGAAACAGTAAAGTTAGAGATTAAAAATGAGATTAACATGACTGGAATTAATTAATCACAATTAACGCGATAATTTGACACCTTTATTTAGTTTATTTATTTATTTTGTAATTCCAAATGATCTTAAACGGGACGATCAGAGTCAAATAAAGAGCCGTATGTGGCCCCGGAGCTGCACAAAGCCCAGGTCTGTGCTGAATATTTAAAAGTTAAAAGTTGAAAATGTAAATGTTATTAGGTTCTTTTTTGAGTTTGTTTTCATAGCCGACAGTTTGGACTCCTTCCTGTGGTTTTCCTCAGAGTCACGTGATGTTGCTGTGATGATTTAGACGACGTTCACACATATCCAGGCATGTTGAGAAACGAATATTTCCCTCCCTCCGTTTTCCAAAATAACATCGTGCACACAGCATCGTTTTCGTTTTCATCGACCTGCATAAATCCTCCGTCGAGCGCCGTCAAAACTACACCAAACCTCTGGGCGGCGCCTGGATTAGATTCAAACCTGTAGCGTTTATTTCATTACAGTTGTAAGTTTTACTCACAAACACCTGGAAAAACAATGTGCATTAGTGATCGGGCTCGCCTCTCCACAGATCTGATAAAGAAGTGGTAAAATCACTGACCTCTGAGCCTCATTTGTCTCTGGTCGTGGATCTGAAACATCGGCTCTTTGAAAACGAAACACATGAAGAGAGTTTCAGCAGAAGAAATGTGGCTGCTGCTCTAAATGCTTCATCATCATCATCATCATCATCATCATCAGATCTAAAGGGAAACACTGGTCACACTTTTGGCACTTTTTGTCTCACTTTTACAGAAGTCGTGGCGGCTCATAACAAACACAAACGCCGCAACAAATACAAACGTGACAACACAAATGCAAACGCCACAAAAAATAAAAGCCACAACAGAAGTGACCGCGGGACTTGTATTTGTTTGTGGCGTTTGCATTAAAATAGTCCCGCTGTCGCTTCCGTTGTGGCTTTTTTTTTTTTGGAGTTTTTTGGTTTGTTGTGGCTTTTTGTTGCGGCGTTTGTTTTTGAGTTTGTGTTGCGGCATTTGCGTTTGTTATGAGCCCTTCCGACTTCCTTACACTTTACACGCAAACGCCAAACTGTAGTTTTACAGAATCTCCACTCTACCCGGAGTTTTTAGAAAGATTCGGTTTCAGAAGTGAATTCACCGTTTGCTGTAGAAGATGGAACAAATGAAGGGAAACGTCTCAGTTTTTTTAAAATACATGTACATGTACATGTGGCCTTACGCAGGTTTTGCTGTCGTCCTGCCTCCATCGGGAGGAAGACAGCACCAAACCTGTATAAGGCCCCGTTTACACGTACACAGGTATTTTTAAAAACACACTTCCCACACAGGATTGAGGCCGGGACCAGACCAGGACTGAAAACGGTTTAGTCCTAGTTTAGTCCTGGTTTAAGTCACTGAAATGGGAAATGGCGTTTCTGTGACTTTAAAATGCGATGCGAGAATATTGCGCCGCATACGGACTGAACCAGGACTGAACCAGGACTAAAACAGGATTGAATCAGGACTAAACCGTTTTCAGTCCTGGTCTGGTCCCGGTCTCAGTCCCAGTCTCAGTCCTGGTCCTGTTCCTGTTCCCGGTCTCAATCCTGGTCTCAGTTCTTGTCTGATCCCGGTCTCAGTCTTGGTACCTGACTCAGTCCTTGTTTAAGTCCTGGTCTCAGTCCCGGTCTGGTCTCGGACTTCGTTAAGTCCTGGTTTAGTCCTGGTTTAGTCCTGGTTCAGTCCGGAGGCGCAAATAATGAAGAAAATTGTTGTTCGTTTTCTTATTTTATTACGACTTCATTCTTGTAAAATTATAACTTTATTCTCATAATATTACGACTTTATTTTAACTTTGACTTTATTCTCTTAAAATTACAACTTTATTCCTGTAAACTTATGACTTTATTCTCATAATATTACGACTTTAATGTCGAAATGTTACGACTTTCTTCTCGTAGCGCCAGCATTTTTTTTTTTTTTTTAATCTGACCCTTATACTCCGTCGTAGAATTGTTTTTTCAGAGTTAAAATGTTCGGTGGATATTTAAAATTCTAAATCTGGTGGAACAAATTGGTTTTAAATTAGTTTCTCCTGTCGATCACATTGTACTTTACCATGAAATATTCAAAACGTTAAAGCACAAATGTCGAAGCTGGTCATTTTTATCAGCGAGACCCACAGCCAGAAGGTCTCAGGTTTGATTCCCAGGTCTTTCAGAGTGGAGTTTGCACGTTCTCCCTGCGTCGTTGTGACTTTCTTCAGGTTTTACGGTTTCTCGCGTCAACCTGAAACATCCGCGGTCGTCTCAGAAAAATCCTTCAAGGCGACTTTTCTGCTGTTTCCATAGAGATGTTCTTGCTTCTCTGACATAAAAAAAAAAATCAAGCTCCGGTCCCAGGCTCCGGGCGCTTTTCCTGACAGCGCCCGAACGCATCGCCGACACTGACACCGTCACTGACACCACAGGCAAGTGAACGCACCGCGCAGGCAAGTGAACGCACCGCCGCAGGAGACGCGACAGAACAAAGAGGAAAACAGGAATGTACGACACGGGAATGGAGAGAAAGAAACAACGATAAAGTGCGTTTAGAGGTGAACGGTTTGGTTTTCTCGTCACATTATGGAAACAAAAACGCCGGAGCGATTACGTGAAATAACAACTGTGTTTAAAAGGTGCTGTACCTGATTTCTTAAACATGAAAAACAGAACTAGTTGTTGTTGTTTTTTTTTTAAATAGTTTGCAGTGGTTCAAAGTTCTTCCTCACTTCACTTACGCATTCAGAGTAAACTAAATATTCACAGTGATGAGTTTATAAAGAGCGTTTCACAACTTTCAGAGGCCAGAGCAGAATTTGCCTTCATTTATTTATTAAAGGTTGTATAGAGGATTTTTTTAAGGGAAGAGAAATACAGCAACAGTCCTTGTGCGCGTTCAGAATTATTGTTGAAGTGACCTGTCTAGAGGTAATTTAGTGACCGTCAGTTTTTAGACCCTTCGTCTGTTTCAGTCGCACCATCGGTGGAAGGAATCTCCAAGAATCACCTCAGTTTGTCTTCGCTCCTTTTCTCCTTCTCTTCTTCTTTCAGCGACCTCAAAAAACGACTTTCTTTTGCGGCGAACTGGTCGTGGATTCTCGTCTGCCATCGCGACAAACTTTGTGCGAAATGCGAGGAAGCGACAGTTAGAAAAAGCCTCTAAGAACCACCGCAAAAACCACATAATCCCCGCGCGCCGACGACTCAGTTACACTAGGGAGTTTGACTGACAACCTAACAGCCAATAGAAAATGAGGGAGCCTCGTTTTCTATTGGCTGATGTTTATCTGCCCTCACTACTTCCACAGTTGATAGATTTTCTTTCTTTTTTTTTTTTTGGTCATTATAATGACAAAGCTGCTGCGTCTCTGTAATGGTATTTTAAACTTTCATTGACAATTTGAAAACAAAAAAAAAATCCTCCATACAACCTTTAATGTCTTTATTTTTCAGTGGGACAGTGTACATTAATAAACATTACAATAATAGAAACATAACCGAAATGGCTAAGAGACTGGAAAGAGAGAGACCAGATACAGGGAAAAGAGAAGGGAGAGAGAGAGAGTAAAAAGGGGAGAGAGGGAGGGAAGAAACAAGATGAGAACTAGAGAAAGATTGAGGAGGTGAGGATAGAGGAAGAGAGCAGATACAGAGGGAAAAGAGAAGGAGAGAGAGAGAGAGAGAGAGAGAGAGAGAGAGAGAGAGAGAGAGAGAGAGAGAGGAGGGAGAGGACAGAGAGAGAGAGAGAGAGAGAGAGAGAGAGAGAGAGAGAGGGGAAAGAGGACAGAGAGAGAGAGAGAGAGAGAGAGAGAGAGAGAGAGGAGAGGACAGAGAGAGAGAGAGAGAGAGAGAGAGAGAGAGAGAGAGAGAGAGAGAGAGAGAGAGAGAGAGAGAGGACAGAGAGAGAGAGAGAGAGAGAGGACGAGAGAGAGAGAGAGAGAGAGAGAGGACAGAGACAGAGAGAGAGAGAGAGGACAGAGAGAGAGAGAGAGAGGGAAGAGGACAGAGAGAGAGAGAGAGAGAGAGAGAGAGAGAGAGAGAGAGAGAGAGAGAGAGAGAGGGAAGAGGACAGAGAGAGAGAGAGAGAGAGAGAGAGAGAGAGAGAGTGATGGACAGAGCGGCGGCTGTTTGAATAACCTTGAATCCTGACACTTTGTATTTGCATAACACAAACATGAAGCTCCATCAACAACAACAACAGCACCACCACACTCTATCAATCTGTTTAACCTGCACATGTGACACTCACCTCTGCCCCCTACTGGACAGGAGAGGAAAACAGGTCATAAATCACACAAAACTGGACTTTTATGAACTTTAAAGGTTGTATAGAGGATTTTTTAAGGGAAGAGAAATACAGCGACAGTCCTTTTTCAAATGTTGTCCGTGTGTGACACCACCTTCCTCCTCCACAGCTCCTTCAGTAGAAACACCTCCTCCTCCCGCCTCTTTACTCTAGAAATCACTCTTGTTTACAGCCGGTGCGCGTTCAAGAATTCCCGTTGAAGTGACCTGTCTAGAAATAAAATCCTTCGTCCGCTTCAGTCGCGCCGTCGCTGTAAGAAATCTCCAAGTCTCACCTCAGTTTTGTTTTGCTCCTTTTTCCCTTCTCTTCACGACTTCAAAAACCGGCTTTATTTTGCGGCGAACTGGTCGTGGATTCTCGTCCGCCGTCGCAACAAACTTTGTGCGAACTGCGAGGACGCTACAGATTAAAAAAGCCTCGAAGAACCGCCGCATAAACCACGTAATCCCCGCGCGCCGGCGAGTCAGCTACACTAGAAACGTAGGGAGTTTGATTGACGACCTAACAGCCAATAGAAAATGAGGGAGCCTCGTTTTGTATTGGCTGATGTTTATCTGGCCTCATTATGTCCACGGTTGATAGATTTTCATTTTTTTTTTTTTTGGTCATCATAATTACAAAACTGCTGCATCTCTGTAATGGTATTTTAAACTTTTACTGACAATTTGAAACAAAAAAAAAATCCTCCATACAACCTTTAAGTCGTGTTATATTGTTGTTACCAGCTCAGAAACAGATCTGGAATTGTGTTTTGTTTCATTCACATGTTTGAGTAACTCTTTATTATTCGTCTGTTTACATCTCCAAAGCTCCAAATGCTCTGTTCCACCTTGTGATGTCATGAAGTGGTAGTTTTCAAGCTCATTTTACATTTAGTTCAGTAGAGATTCGCAATTCCAGGGCTGAATTTATCCACGTGATTCCAGTGAAGGTGTGTGGAGTTTAAAAACACAGCGGAGCACTTCCTGTGTTCCCATACTACATCACAAGGTGGAACAGAGTGTTTTTCTGTTTGAAAGGAGGTCGGTCTTGTGTATCACATGACCACTTTAACCAATCAGAGCGAGAGGAGCCAGAGCAGAGCCGGCGTTCTATCGAAATGAGCTCCCAGCAGCCTAAATCGACAGTGACGTCTATCGATTCACGCCTCTTCGACGACGTGTTTACAGTTGTATAAATTCAATAAAGACAAACCCTGACCCTGATCTCTCCAGTCTGACAACATGTTTCTTTGAATCAGAGATGCGAGTTTGATGCTGTTTGCACACGGTGATCAAACTTTAGACCTTAGTTATGTCAAGTTTAAACTCATTTATATGAATCTGCGGAGTTCATTTGGAC